GCACACGTGCCAGGAGCTCCTTGAGCCGCTGTCGCCGCTCGTCCAGCAGCTTGGATTCAGCCTCATCCACAGTGCATCGCTCTAAACCCACAGACACGAGTGCGAAGGCCGTATGAGACGAAGCAAGCGGACCACATCCATTCGACATGAAGGAAACAGATCGCAGCACGACGCCAGTGAACACAAATTCACGAACATGACAAACCTTTGTGCAGTAGCTCGTAGAACTCTGTCAACAGCTTCTTTGGGTCTTGCAAGTTGAGCTGCGCTTCTCGGGTCTGCTGCCTTGCCTTCTTGTTCTACGCACGTAGATACGGGTGTGTGTATGTGTGTGTGTGTGTTTGGGTGTGAGCGAATGCACAAGCACAGCCGAGCCTGGAGTGTCAAACTTGGGTTGTATCACGAGCACGACTGAGCGTAACACGCTGGCCCTGAACCAACTTTCCACTCGTACCCACCTTCTTCAGCTCCTTCTTGCGAGCCGCCTTGCCTGTCGGGGTTGAGAAACATGGAAACTTGAAGTGAGCATGGTTGACAGTGCGCTGACAGACAATGCACATGCAAAGCGAGCGACAAAGTGTCCCACAACACGCACGCACACTACATGCAAGGAACCAAACCTACCGACACCCACAAACACACCGACACCCACAAACCTACCGACACCCACAAACACACCCACACCCACAAACACACCCACACCCACACACGCACACAAACCCACATCCACACACTCACACACAAACCCACATCCACACACTCACACACACTCACGAGCTTGGTCTGCGGGATGCAGTGCCTTGCGACCCATCCTCCTTGTCTTCGTCTTCGTTGTCGTTCACACAACCAGTGCAAGTTTGGAAGAATTGCCTTATTTTCAAGAGATTTTCGTCAGCGATGGAACACGGTCACGAGGAGCGTTGTAACACCACCACCACCACGTCAAGCAGAAGCACCACCACCACGTCCTCACGTCAAGCAGAGCACCACCTCCACCTCCACGAGCACGCGCACGCGCAGCATCCCTGCTGACATGCTATGCCCTGTGCAGCACCGTGAGCTTCAGGATCAAACACTCGACGAAACACAGGCTGACTGCAGTGGTAGCGAAGACCGCAGCACCCCCAGCAAAACCCGCAGCAAAAAAGGCCTTGACAACCGCCGTGAGCGTGAGCACCACCACAACGACAACGACAACGACGAGACAGACAACATCGAAAACGAAAACGATAATGAGGAGGGCAAAGACTGCGACGACAACAACGACAACGACAACGACAAAGCCCAAGACGGTGGCGGGAGCAGCAGCAGCAGCAGCAGCAGCAGCAGCAGTCGCAAGCACGACAGTGAAGAAGATTGCGGCCAATGGACCGAGGAGGAAGAGTATGGAACGCACTTGCTGCATCTCGACGATTACACGCTTGAGAGAATTGCAGCGCACCTGGACATTGTGGCATTAAGTCGCCTTGCTCAGACATGCAGGCGGCTGCACCAGCTGCGCTGGCCAACCGTTGACCTGAGCGTGGTGATTGATGCGCCCAACAGAATCAGCTCCACCATCCCAAACGAGGCATGGGAGCAGCTCCTGGCCAGGCATCCAGTCAAGCTCGTGGTGGCCTGTCGCTTTGCGGCCTCGTGGGCCTTGCAGCAGCCCATGCGTATTCTGCGAATGCGCTCTCTGCGCGACCTGCGGCTGCAGCGCATCCACATCCCCTTCCACGCCGTCTCCGAGCTGTGCTATGCGCTGCGCTGCTTCAAGCCCCATCTGACGCGCTTCGAACTCAACTGCGTCACAGTGAGCACCAAAGCGCTCCGCCTCATCCTGGCCAACATGCAAGAGCACGTACCCATGTTGAGCCACCTGACGCTCCACGCAGTCTCGCTTCGCCCCGAGATTGTCGGCATCATGGCGGCCATGGTCCAAGGCAGCCGCGCACACGAGCCCGTGTCCGCTCAGCAAGGCCCAGGCCTGCGCGTGCTCGAGATTAAAAACTGTACCGTGCACACGCTGACGCCATTGGCAAAGGCACTTGCTGGCCGCAACGCCCTGCAGCAGCTCTCCATTGTGGCACCGAGCAGCAAGTCCCGGTGCTCAGTAGGCCCAATCTATCGCAGCCTCGCCAGCAACAGGAGTGCACAGCTCGTCTCCTTGGACCTTGCGCACGGCAACTATGCACACGCCCATGTGCCAGACTTGCTGGGGTTCCTGTCCACAACCTCGTCCCTGCGCCACCTCGTGCTTCCGCCGATACAGCTGGAGCGGGATGAGCTCGCCCTCATCGTCGAGACGCTGTCAAACCGCGACATGCTCGTGTCGTTTGCGTGGTGCGGCGTGTCGTTTGATGTCGTGGCAGCCGAGGCCTTGTGGGGCTGGGTGGAGCACAGTCAGAAGCTGACACGCTTGTCCCTGACCCACTGCGACATTGCCGGCCCACGGAAAGTGCTCGAGCAGCTTGCAAAGGCCGCCGCGCGCGCCTTCTCGCCGCGGTGCGCACTCCGTCAGCTCGACATGACGGGCAGCGAACTGTTTGCCTCACGGAGCCTTCGAAGGAACATCCTGCCGCTCGCTGCAAAGCGCCGCATCACTGTCATCCACGATGCTTCCGACAATTCCTGAACGAGGTTTGTGGCATGCCCATGTGTGTGTATATGTATGTGTGTGTGTGTGTGGATTGTTGTGAGCAATTTTGTGTTTGTGTGCGTGTTGATTTGTGTCTGTGTGTGTGTGCGTATGGATTGTCGTGAGCGGTTCTGTGCGTTTGTGTGCGTGTTTATCCGCGCGCACGCGCGCGCGTGTGTGTGTGTATTTGTGTCTGTGTGTCTGCGTGTCTGTGTGTGTGTGTGTGTGTCTGTGTCTGTGTGTCTGTGTCTGTGTCTGTGTGTCTGTGTGTGCGTGTGTGTGTCTATGTCTGCTTGCACGTTAATCATCGTTTGTGTTGAACTGCCATGACAAGTGCCATTCATGTACTAATCACAGCAACACACACAACACCGCACCACGCCATATCTCCACAGCACAACACAAGACCACGCCACATCAGAGTACGCGCAATGCAGCTCCACACACGTATGATGCAGCGCGGGCGCCTCGGCTTCAGTGTTGCGGCGTCAGTGCTGGTTGTACGCTAAGAAGCGAGCGAGCTCTTCACTGCTCACCGTGCGTGGGTTGCGAGCAATGGCCTTTGCAACATCGCCGCTGCGCACGGATCGCGCCACAGCATCCTCCGCAGGAATGTCTTGCACGTTGCCCCTGAGGGCGCCTGGCTCCTCCTCATCACAGGGCCTCCAGGTGCACTTGCCATCGTCAGCTTGCTCACAGTGCCAAAACTGTGCTGCCAGCAGCTCCCGCACAGGCTCCATCGTCGCGTCTGACATGACAGTCACTACGTCGCTGCCAGAGTACCTGCTCAAAGCGATGGTGTGTATGTGAGCAGGCGTGAGATCACCGTGCTAAACTGATGTACGTTGACGCGGCCTGTTCATACGGGTGTGTCAAGCTGGGAATACGTTCAATCGCGAGCTGTAGGCAGAGCATTTAGGAGCACCCTCACCCGCTTGTCTGTTCCGCGAGGTCCTGCAGCTCCTCGTCGGTGATTGTGTGCTCCACACCCGTCAGCTACACGCATGCACCCGTATATATATGTGTGTGTGTGTGTGTGCGTGCGTGCGTGTTGGTGTGTATGTGTGTGTGTGTTAGTTCATGTGTGCGTGTGTGTTAGTTCATGTGTGTGTGTGTGTGTGTCAACGCGCGCGTGCTTGTGAGTGTGAACGTGCGAGTGTGTTTGCACTTGTGTCCAGGATGTGCACTGGGGCTGTTGTTTGTTGAGAGGCATGCCGAGCAATCACAGTGTGCAACACACCAAACGCTGCATGAGCGTCCGGCGCGCGTCCAAGTCCGGGAGCCCGACGTACACGCGCTTCTGGAACCGACGCAAGAACGCGGAATCCAACTGCATGCAGCATCAGCCACAACATCGACAGTGGCAAAAAGAAAGTCAAAATGCAGCGCGTAACATACCGGTAACCGTGTGTAACAACGCAATGACGCCGCGAAGCCGGGTACCAAGTCACGGTGCCGCAAGACATCAGGCAGTACCAGGCCGTGTCAGTGTTTGCGTGTGGTTGTTTGTCGTACCTCCCATGGACAGTTGGTGGCGCACAGCAAAAATGTCCTGGCATTCCCACCTTCTTTGTCAGCCCCTTCCATCTGCGTTAAGCCACGTGTGTGCGTGATAGGGAGTGATCGTTAACTATTGTTCGATACAACATGAAATCTCTTCAAACTGCAATTGGAGCACGCCAGGGATCGTGTGCGTGTGTGTGCGTGCGTGCGTGATACCTGTCGCAGGAGCTCAGTCTTGATACGGCGCGCTGAATCCTCCTCTGCCGAACTGCGCTTCCGGCACAGACTGTCGACTTCATCAATGAAAATCACCTGCTCAATAAACAATGCCGGTGACAGCAGAGTAAGCGGTGCGGTCGTGCAAGGTAGTGAACACAAGCGCAGGCTGGCATGGCGTGTGTGCTGTTTCCGATATTGTGTTTTGTTTGCCCCCCACGTCACTTGTGCTCCTAGAGCACTGTTGTTCACGCACCGAAGCAGCACTCTGCGCCTGAGCATGCCGAAACAGCTCGCGAATAAGCCTGACAATGAACAGTCGTGGGTTGGGGTGTTCATTTGAGACGTGACCATGTGAGGCTGCGTGATGTGCAAGAGTAGAAGAGTGGATCAACGCGACCGCCATAGGCGAGAGAGCAAAACCAAAACACGTGTCCAACAAACTCACTTCTCGCTCTCTCCGAGCCACGAGCTGATGAGGTCCGAAGAGCTGACGCAGTAGAACGGGCCATTCACCTCCGCCGCCACAGCTACGGGTTGTGTTGTAAGGCATCGGGTGCGCAGTAGAGGGGAAAACGGAGAGAATGTGTGAGTGTGTGTGTATGTGTGTGGTTGGTTGATGAGTGTGTGCGTGACAGGGGGAACAGAAGAAAGGTGGGAGCGTTCGTGTTCGCATGCGTATATGTGGGATTGGGCGATGTGTGTGTGTGTGTGTGTGTGTGTGTGTGTGTGTGTGTGTGTGTGTGTGTGTGTGTGTGTGTGTGGTGGTGG